CTTTGAGGTTGATTAGTTTATAATCCAACCGTCTGAATTATGTGTGATATTGATTAGTTGATGTCTGTGTACTTTTAATCAATTTCATGAATCTTCTGACGTTTTAAAACAATCATGAAATTCTTTTGAAAATATTAGATATGAATAACTTCTTTTGTATCTTACAGTTTCCTTGATGTAGAGCAAAATAGATGCATGAGTAACGAAATCATACAATATCTTATATATGGTTAATTTGCAGATTGCTTCAAGGAATGCATCCATGAACTACATGAAAATTGTGGATAATTCGTTGATTGGGAGTTCTAATGAGGTTTGTGGAGTATTTCAGTCTTAAAATCAGGTTTTTGTTATGTTTGTACATTAAATTTTTTGTTCACTGTATCCTTATTTAGGTTAACAGACTCCTGGAGAGAGTAGAGGTAACTTTTGTGAAGCACTTTTTAAGTAGCAACCGAAGAGAATGCATCAAGTTAAAAGAGAAAGGTACAAATTTACATTATTCTCTAGTGAGAGAATCTGAGGGAGAGATAGAGAAAGTTTGATTTCAAGAATCTTACAAATGTTTACTGTTAATTGTTCTTCAATTTCCCATATGTTTTTTATGACTATTCTGTTACACTAGTTATTGTTGTTGCTTTCAAGATAAAGAGTAAAAAGATCATGGAAAAGGGTTACAATACTGAATATATGGCAAATATTATCTCTCTTTACATGCAATTGTTCTATTCAATGACTCAGAATATGTTCATAGTAAAATAGAATACAAATATTTCTTGTCTCACACTCACAAACATTGTATATCCTACAGCTTATTTGTATTCATAATTCTTCATATGCTCATGTAATCAGCAAATATATACTTCTAGAGGCATTATTGAGTTAACTATACCTTCATCTTTGGTTTCAAGCAGGGAATATAGATGGATTACAAAGAAGTTTTCCTAGTAAGCATCAACCTTAACACATCCTGCAGGTAAGGTTTCATATCCTGCTGTAGGAGGGTCTTGCTAAATCGAATTTAGGAAGGATTTATAGTGATTTAGGAAGGCTTTACTGAATTTAAGAAGGCTTTATAATAATAATTTAGGAAGACCTTACTAGATTGATTTGTTTTGTGCAGCTGAAGGTGATTTATAGTGATTTAGGACGACTTTATCTTAATTTAAGAATGTTTTATAGTAATTTAGGAAGATCTTACTAAAATCGAATTTAGTAAGAATTTACAATAATTTAGGAAGACTTTATTTGAATTTAGGAAGGCTTTTTAGTAATTTAGGAAGGTCTTGCTAAATCGATTTGTTAGGTGCAGCTGAAGTTGATTTGTATCTTGCCTTCATTACCTGATGATCCGGAAGATACAATCTTTTTGGAAGACACAGATGATACAGATCTGAATCTAATGGTTGAATTTATGAACAGGGGTTACAAAATTACAGCTGAAGACTGAAATGAAGGTTAACTGAGTTGTTCTTGAGAAAGTCGCTCTCAATTCCCATAACTTTTGTAACAAGGAGACATCAAGGCCACTTTGTTCAGACGAGTCATTACTCTCAAAGCTGAACAATATATGCAAAATTGTTGAAGATGAGTTCAAATCTATGAAAATCATGATTTTTGGATGGTTATGGTTTGTATGTTATGTTTTCACCCTTGTAACTCATTTTTGCCGTCAACACTGATGTAAATACAAGTATTCAGAAAATTAGGAAGAAATTCCTGAAATTCAGGAAGGATTCATTCAATTTCAGGATGGGTTTCCATAAAATAATTTGGTAATAACAATCACAAAAATAACAAAAATAATCCAGACGCAAGCAGAGCAGACCGATTGGTCTAGAAGATAAAAAAATTCCAGACACGAGCAGGAAAAAAAGATGGGATACACACACACCCAGAAGTTTAGTAGATAGTGTAACCAGTAAGCCAAACTTTTCATTCATGAGTATCATAGCAAAATATACAGATATACGATACCAATCCAATCCTGACAAAAATAATTACTGAAATTAACAATGGATACACACTCTGTAGGAATCGAACCCAGATGGTTTACAAGCTTAATAAAGTGTGTAACCAGTATGCCAAACTTTTCATTCATTTGAAGTAGCAGATTATATATATACTCAATCCAATACAATATGTAAGAAGATCGGTCCACTGGTAAGTCAACCCTCTAAACTGAAAATCAATTGTTTAATCTGGCCAAAACCGATTTGGAGGCAGCAAAAACGGGGAAAAAGCGGATCGATCCCCACTTCCATCGTTTTCATTCTTCTTCATCCCCACTGCAACATCAAGAACCCTAACTCCTTTGATTCATAAGTTTTCCAATTTCAATTATGTAAATTTAGGAAGGCAATTGTGGAAATAAAGGAATCAATTGAATCAACAAAGCAACCAGAATCACTTGAATCAAAGACAGTGAATTTAAATCACTTGAATCAACTAGAGCAACCAGAATCATTTGAGTTCCTAGAACATAATCAAATTTGAATCATAATACAAAAATAAAATCAAATAAAAACGAAGAAGAGATCAAACCAAGTCAGATAAAGCTCTTGAAGACTAACATTGTAACATTTATCCAAAGATATCGTAGCAATTAGAAATGAAGAAGAAATGAAGCTCAAATCAGGGAGAATTGGATTGCATTTGAATCACCTTACAAAATTGAATCTGCAAGGAAGAAGAAATCAAGGAGGAATCTGAAATCAAGCTCAAAACAAGAAATATTTTAATGGGGATTAAAGAGAAGATGAGATGAAGATGAATCTAAAATTAACGACAAAACTAGAAGACTAAGGAGGAAAGACTAAGGAGGAAAGACAACGTCGGACCCAGAGAAACACTGTCAAATCTCGCCGAAAAAACGCTGGAGATGGAGCGAACGTGAAAGAGTTCGTAAAAGACGTGAACGTGAAACCCAAACTCAAAATTGTTGTGTTTAAATCATAGGGGTAGAAGAGTCTTTTATGTTTAGTAAACAAGGGGATGAAAGAAAAATGGTGGTATTTTTGGAAGGAAAACGTTTTAGTGATATTTTAGGGTATTTCTCATATTACAATAGATGTTGCTAGGTAAATATTATATCTCAACGATAACTTCACACAAAGATATTATTGAATTGGGAAAATTTTTATGAAAAATACCATAGATCACATGTATATAATATTGGTTTGTTAATAGACAAATCACATGTTACACAATGGTAGTCCTTGTTTTAAATTGTCTTCAATTTAATTGATGTAAGAAAACAATATATTTTTGCAAAGAGTATTTGCTGCACATGTACAAATGACATTAAAATGTATAATAGTCAAGCTAAGGTTGATTTCAAAATATAGAGTTATAAAGCAAAGAATGTTGTTCAATTATGTAAACAAAAAAATAACTATATGAGATCGTGAGAGAGTAATGAACTCCATCATTTTCGGTATGTCCGTCGACATCATCGTACAATTATACAATTATCCAAATCCCAAAGAAATAAGATCAAACACATGATGTAGATCCGTTCGTGCAGGAGATTTTAGAGAGAAGAAGAACAAGAAAAGAGATTCAAAGAAGCGGCTGTTTTCTCACTCAAAAGATAAATGAAGAACACGAGAAGAGATTCAAAGAAGCGGTTGAGTCAAAAGATAACCTAATTAAAAACGCCAACGGTATAAAACAAAGAGTGTTGTTCAGTTATGTAAACCAAAAAATAATCAAAAAGAATCATTTTTTACTTATCCATGTTTGAATTATCTCGCTCAACACAAGATTGGTTAAAATTGTCTAATCCAATCATGGGTAAGTAAAAATTCATTTCTTTTAATAATGGTTTGTACGGAAAGTGATCATCATACAATTTATCCCATTTTGTTGAGAAGGATGGAGCACACAAAATGGAGAAGCAAATTTGGATTCTAGAGTGAGTGTAGAAGATGATGAAGTTGGTTCAATTGATATGATGGATACATTAGGGCAAGTAGAAACAAAATCAGATTTGGAAGTACATAATCTATAGTTGGAAGTTCAAAATCCAAAAGAAAAAGCAGAAGGAGGCAGATCTGGTTATAGAGCTCATGCTGCATGTAATGCAATTATTGCAGACAAAAATACACTAGCAAAACAGATGTTAGAACAAAAATAGTTAGAAAAAAATTTAGTGTGGAACATGTTCTTGAGGTTCATACATGAGTATGTTGGTGTACCAGGAAGAGCACACGATACAAAAGTATTGACTCATGTGCGAAGATCTTTTCCACATCCGCCAAATGGAAAGTATTATTTAGTCTGAATATCCTACTAGGACAATATATCTTGGTCCTCATCGTAGAATTCAATATCATCTAGATCAATTTTTTAGATAAAGACCACCAACCACCACCCGAGAATTGCTTAACCGGAGATATTCAGGTTTGCAGACAATGATTGAGCAGACATTTGAAGTATGGAAAGCAAAATGGAGAATTTCTAGAGCGAAAGCATCCAAAATATGACATTACACAACTTCATACGCGGATTACGCCGAGATAATTATAATTTTGTGCATTGGTAGAGAACTGAAGAATATCATATCGCCGTAATGATGATAATGATGATGGTGGTGGTGGTGCTAGTAATAGTGGTGGTGTCGGTGATGATGATGGGGATGGTGATGGTGGTAGTGCTGGTGGACATGTTTTATATAAGCCGACCAGTGATAGAGTTATGAAAGGTATACGTGACTGCATTACACGTGAGATTAGTAGCGCCAACTACCTTATTAGTTATTAATTTAATTTTGTAATTTAATTTCGTTTTGGTTTGTCGTCTTTATTTTGCTTGAAATTAATTAATTTTTTAACTTTGTTTCATTTTGATTTATTGACTTTATTTTGCTGGAGATTTAGTTTATATTTTTCAATATATATTCAAAATAGTAAGTTGTTTAAAAATTTAATAAATTTCAATCTTATCAATAACAAAATGAACAATCTTGCAATCAGTCGCAGCGATCATCGCACAATAAATAAACGAACACTTTTGCGCTAGTCGCATCGATTAGTTGTGTGACTACAAAACGAACAACATCATAAGATTTTAAAATCGCACTCACAATCGCTTGCGACTATAAAACGTGGCAAATATAAACCATATTCTTACATGATACCAAGAATAAGATCACTCAACGCAATACACTGACTAAAGAGTACATGTATAACACTCATTGATTGAGACTCAACCAGAAAACAAAAAATATTCATCTAATCCACATTTGCTACTCTTACTCCATTTGAAAGTAGAGAATATGCAACGCAGAACTCGGGATTTCCGCGACCAAATCCTTTTCGGAAAACCAACTGTCAACGATGCTCCCAACACGAGATTCCTTTGAACTTGCAGCCCATCTGTCTACAAGCTTAAACCCAAACTTAGATGCAGCTGACAAGAGAGAAGGTTCATCAACCCTTCTAAAAACATGGCATAGAATCAACGCCGGCTTTCCTCGAACCTCCGAGTCTCCCATTTTTCGTAAGATCAACTCATTTGCGGTTTCAAACAAAGGAATAACGGCTTCAGCTACATAAGTAACATCGGTCCCAATGATAACTTCAAAACCTCCACAAGCCAAACCTTTAATGCCTTCTATATGCTCTTTGTTTCCCCATTCAAGTACACCTGCTTTAAGTTTTCCAAGTAAAGAAGATTGGAGGTTCATTGCGATGTTCTCTGTTAACAGCGTGAGTGCCTTTATGTCTGCATCGGTAGCTACCACAAGGCTAGCTGTTCTCGCAGCTACCATCGAGCATAGCCCTGTGCAGCCACAACCCAATTCCAACACCCGTTTTCCATAAACAATGTTCGGGTTCCTGTCAAGAACAGAAGCCATAAGCCGAGCAGACTCCCAAAGCATCAACCCCGTAGATTTGCAAGTATGTTGATATTCTTTGGACAAAAGTTTGATTTTAAAAGAAGAATCCCTAAGCTTAACCACGCTCATCTATCAAAGCAAATCGGATCGAAAAACAAAGATGAATTTATTAGCATAAAAGAAAAAATAGAAAGTCTTGGACAAAATATGAAAAAACAGTGAGATTACTCAAGTCTCTTACCTCATGACTTGATGGGGAGGCTCCAAACATTTCCATTGCTAGACCATCGGATATGTCAATGACACTATTATCGACAATCTCTTTTCTTTCTTGTTCCTCAGATTTAGGCTGATTGTTACTTTGTTGTTCAGATTGGTCTAATTTGGTAGCAGTCATCCTATCACAAGGGTTTTTGTTGACGTTTGATCGACGAAATGTAGCTTGGACCCAGCGCCTATTCATGACCAGTTCACGTGAACGATTCTCAACTTGTTTGCAGCAAACATCAAGCTCCTCAACTTCAAATCCTTGTTCGGAAAACAAAGTTTCTAGGAATTCATTAGAAAAGTAGAAGGCACGCTGCATAAAAAAGGTAAAATCATCACAATACTGCCAAAAATACAAATGTGCACTCAAAGAGATAGCCTTAGAAAAGCGGAGGAAAGAAAGAACTTACAGTGCCATCACCTCTGACATAAAAGTTCTCGCTGATTTTCTGATCTTTCCCAGAAAATCTCTCCTGTTGATCAAATAATGGACCACATAATGAGTAACCATGCCTTTGTATTCTAAACCATGTAGTTCAGAGATAACTAATTTACAAAATACAAAACGTTACCTAAAGTATAAGTAAAAAGAAACTTGATAATAAGTAGAGGAGATGTTTCCTTTACAACAAAATTTGAAGTTCGAGTGACTCGTTTCAAGCGTATAATAGTTGTAATTCATATGACCTTTGATGTATTTGATAGGTATATTTTGTGAGATTTTAATTCCACTAACATGGTAGAACAGAGAAGTGACACAACCTAACTTTGGAAGTAATAAAAAGTGGATCAAACCTGAGCAAGATCACCAGTAGCATAGTCACGGAAGAGAATACACCCATTTGGCTGAAAACAGAAGAATAAGAAAGTAACTGAGAAATCCAGACACTTGAAGATAAAGATGGATGCCCAAAAAGTTTATTAGAAAAGACTTGGTTGATGATACCTTAAGTACTTTCTTAATATTCTGCAATACTAAGGACATCTTCTCTGGGGATACCGCAGATAAAACAAATATCTGTTCAACAAGTATTTAACATGAGAAATATTTTACGATGAAAAAGGAAAATGATCAAGACATCATATACATTTTGTTAGGAAAATACCATGGTTACAATATCAACTGAAGAAGGAGAAATGTGCTTGTCAAGATCATCCCCTGTCAAGTCACAAGCAAATGCACACACGCGAGTCTCTGTGTATTCATCATGAGCCTAAGTGTCATAACAAGTTAAATACACTCTGGTCAAGTTCAACAGAGACCAGTAACAAAAAGACACACATTACAAACCGTACTCTATTCTATATTTTGGATGCAACAAATAGCCAGTCGCAGACATAAATTAAGGTATAAATTGTCATTCAATGAATTGACACTATCCATGATGCAGTAATACGTTTATGAGTTATCACCAGCAAATAAGAAACTTACATCATAGAGCTGAATAAATTGACCAAAGAAAGTAAACATTAGAGAAAAGTAATGACTAACCTTGACCAATTCGACGGCTCGTGGTGAAAAATCACATGCGTAAACAAAAATGTCTGGATATGTGGCAATTAACGGGAATATGGTGTTTCCAGCTCCACAGCCAACCTGTGTAAATCAAAACCAATTTCTCAGCAGAATATATCAACAAAAGCTACTCATCTTGCAAACAACATAATAGTTTGATTCAGATGAGTAACCGCGTGAGCATATGTGATTACCTCAAGAATAACTCTTTTTCCACTGACCTGAAAAAGAGAATAAGAGAAACTCAGGTTGAATATTACAATAAGTAATGCAGTAGATACCATATGAATTACTTTTACTACTCACCGAAAAATAGCTGTTCCATTCCTTGTCCAAGTAGTGGCGGTCTTTGAAAAACTGATGAAAAACAAGAGAACCTTTATCATATAGAGTACAGTAATATCATTTGCACAATCCCTTTTTCACAAAGCACCAATGTCAACATTGTAATATGAACAAAGATAAACTAGATTACATTGCTGAAATCAAGGGCTGAGGCAGTTGAATACAGATCCCTTTACAGAACAATACACAAGATCCGCTAAAAGACTAAACCATTACTCGTTTTCTACTAAAGAACTGCCATACAAACACACCTGAGTTACTAAAAGTCTAATGAAGATAGCTCCATATGATATATTAGGTTCACTAAACTAACTTAAGTGCTCAAACCTACCAATCACCCTAAAATCATCACTTTGCTACTTTTACCACATAATTCACAAAACATGTATTTGAAGAATCTTTTATTACACCTTCAGCTAATGAAACTAAAAGCATTTACTGAATCCACACTATGTTAAAGTTTATATAAATCAACAACAAAGCTCAGTTACATGTCAAACTGAGAAAGAGATCAAAGCTTACTCTGTCTCCATGATGTTTGTAAAATATATCCCAATACTTTTTAGCATCCCTTTCATACTTCTCTGAGATATAATAAAACAGGTGTTGTTGTATATAACGGATTAAAGGAGCAAGCTTGCAATAATAATCAGCTAAAGATTTAAACTTTAACAAACCTCGCCAAAAAGGAGAAACACCAGAGTTAGCTGTCGGATAAATCTGCAACTTCTCAACTGATTTCTGCGTCTCTTCTACGATTTTCATACCAGATGACATTATTACCACGACCCGTGTCTTCACAAGAACAAAAGATTCATGATATATATAAGTAATTTAACCAATACCCAAGTACCTTAAAAAGCAATGCTTTCGATTTTGTGTTATCAAGAAAACAAGAATAATATTACTAACCCTTTGGTTCTTCCTTCGACGGCAAAACAGAACTCAAGTTCTGTCTCTGAGAAATCTGAACTCTGTAGAAGAAGAGAGTTATTATTATTTGTCAAGTGGAAGGGATTAGGAGAATGACCATAAGCCATTAAGCTGATGGGTATTATAATTATTACTAGGCCCAATCGTGGTTGGGTCAATTCCAGACTAAAAAAGTCTTTAGAGTGATTAAACTCTACTGTTTTGGACAAAGCTAAATACCATAAGATCTTTTATTAATTCCCCTAGTAGATAGGGAGAGTAAGGTAACTGAGGACGACTTGCAAACTTGATAATTTGATGGATGTGGAGAAAAGCCACATTTAAAGAACAGATGGTTTTGAGATTTTGATTGTAGATGTTGAGGAGACATAACCGGTTGACATGTAATGATACCCTAATTTCTCATTCGTGTACGAAGGATTTCGAGCAAGAACGAAAAGCTAGATTAACCTTGTTTTTATTTTTCTATCTGGGTTAGTTAATATCAATGGCCGAGACTCAAACTAATCTCTGAAATCTGTTTGAAAAAGACTATTTTTTTTTGTTTAAATTTAAATTTTTCTGATAATAAGAGATTTTACGGTTCTCATACTCCAGAAATATGTTTATGTAAATACAGAAAAAAAAATCACTGTAAATTTTGTAGGTGGTGGAGTTTGATCCCTAGCTTTGACCCATAATTCAAACCAGAGGAGAAAAGGGTTCTAAAAAAACTAACCAGAGGCGAAAAAGGTTTTAAAAGAGTAATCAAAGGAGAAAAGAGGTTTTAAAAGAACTAACCAGAGGAGAAAAGGGTTGCCTCAGATCTCTTTGGTTGCTTTATAACAATCGCTGAACAGCACTGTTACAAACCCAAACATCAAAATTAACAAAACAAATGGAAGCAAAGCAAACACAAACACGAACCAACACAAAGACGTGAATCAAGACACATGATCGTAACAGGCCGTGAATCAAAGCTCAACAAAAATGGACGTGAATCAAAGCTCAACACAAATGGACGTGAATCATGACACATCAAAGCAAAGTAAAGTAATGTAGCAACGCAAAGCAAATACACACACATTATTCTCCATGAGCATGGAATGAATTGGAAGAGAGCTCTCAATCATGTATTTAAAAGACCAGCTAAGCACAATGAGATCAAATAAGCACAATGACATAAAAAACTGAGGTATAAAAATAGAATCATTAACACTCTAATGTAGTCAAAAACACTAAGCTAAGATTCAAAAGCCATCAACACAAGCCGGAAAACACAAACCAGAGGAGAGAAGGGTTGCCTCAGATCTCTTTGGTTGCTTTATAACAATCGCTGAACAGCCCTGTTACAAACCCAAACATCAAAATTAGCTAAACAAATGGAAGCAAAGCAAACACAAACTTAAAGACGTTCTGCTTATAACAAGGCTTGCCAGTTCTTAAGCAATGTGGTTGATCTGAAACAGTCTTATTTCGTTCAGAGCAAGAAACACATTTTGGTTAAGAACAAAGCATCAGTTTTATGAACAAACTCATTGCCAAATCAACAAAAGAAGAAGAATTTCACAAGGGAAACAAAGTACACACAAAGAAACATTAGTACACACATGATCCAAATCTAACTTAAACGCATAATAGTCTTCAGGCGAGGGAAGGAAACAAACTCAGACATCATCCAAGGCTACTTAAACGGGCTCTAGAGCTTGAATCCAAAATCGAATTTTTAGAAGAAGACTAACCAAATTCCGTAAAACCCACTTCGAAATCGAAAATATAAAGCTCAATCTGTGACCAGTAATGGCGGACAAAGAAGACTCATATGCAAACAACAGAAACTGACGAGTTTGTGTTTGTCTTCGGGATCGAAGACAATGGAAGACGAAGCAGCAATAGTGGAAAGTGGCCGACGAAGCAACAATGGCGGACGAAGCAGCAATGGGTTTCAATAAGCTTAGGTTTCAATGGCTAACGAAGAACTCAGTGGAGTCAATGTCGGAGTCGATGTCGGAGTCGGAGTCAAGGGGAAGAAGAAAAGCTATTAGGTTTAGTTTAGTTTTTGATAGAACGACGTCATATTAGTTGATAAGTTATTAAGTTGTTAAAAAAAAGGGTTAGTTAAAACTATAGCTATGGTATACTTCAAAATTAAAAGTTGGGTATCACTAATTTGAAAATTAGTTTTCTCACATGATGTCAGGAAAAAAGACAAAAGTAATTCTATACAATTTTAGATGGTTAAATGAAATAATTCTGCTTTCTATCTGTATTGGCAAAGACACGCACAACTCCAACATTAAATGATGTCGACGATATCTTCGAACATATTGGATATCATTATGTTTAGTCGATAACTCCAGATAACAATTAGTATGTATACTAAGGTAACAAGTCTAATCTTATAAATTAAAAAATTGGTAGTAAATACTACAAGGTACTCACTAACTACACACTTGACCTTCTAGAATAGTATGTAGACATAAACATAACATTGTGGATAGTAGATAACAAAAGCTTTAGAGGATTATGTATTTATTATTAGGTAAAAGAGGCGAGTTATGTGATCATGATCATTAGAGGATTGACACTAGTGACATCTTTTAATGAGAAATGCAATGTAACCGAATGTACTTTAAGTCCTAGTTATGTTGATAATTTATACAACTAATAAGTATTAATGTCGATTAGCTTCCGGTTTGATAATTCTTATATTATACCGGTAACTACTAGAGTGAGAAGAAATCATGTAAGTGTTATGTTATACCAGTAACTAGTATAATAATAACATAGATTTATTATGTGATAAACTTAGATTTTATTCTATTAAATTATGTACTATATATATTACAAAATCTAAACCCTAACAACTATTTTGTCAACCCAAACCGAAATATAATTTCATTTAATTACAAAATCTAAACCCTAACCACTATTTTATCAACCCAAACCGAAATATAATTTCGTTGAGTTACAAAATCTAAACCCTAACCACTATTTTGTCAACCCAAACTGAAAAATAATTTTATTTAATTATAAAATCTAAAACCTAACCACTATTTTGTCAACCCAAACCAAAATTATAATTTTGTTTAATTACAAAAATTAAACCCTAACCACTATTTTGTCAACCCAAACCAAAATATAATTTCGTTTAATTACAAAATCTACATTTTTGTTTGGTTATAAAATCTAAAGTCTGACCACTGTTTTATAAACTTAAACCGATATATATTTCCATGAATTCGATAACACTTTTCATCAGTGATTAAAAGCATTCAATAAATTTTCTTAAAACATGTTAAATAATATGTTATCACGGTAAGTTACATATTATACGTTAAATTGAGTATGTATATAAACCGGTAATATAAATATTTTATACAAGTACGTAATTATATATGTATGATAAAACTGTATAAAACAAATAAATAACAAAATAATAAGAAATAAATTGAATGAAACACACATTGTATACTAATTTGGTTATCCGGTAACACGTATTAAATCATCTAACCTCGGCGTCATCAGTTTCGTCAACCACATCATCTTTATCATGGCCCACAACACGTTTTTTTGTTCCAAAAAAAATCAATGTAGCAATGTGTGTAGGGTTAAAATCGTCCAAAAAATATCTACCTAATTAAAAAAAGATCAATGACATTTACTTAATAAAATGGTCAACTGAGGGTATGACTTACAATTTCCCTTAAAAAAAAACCTGATGGGTACCCATAAGCTTACTAGGGTAAACCCGTTCAAGATTTTAATATTTTGGGCATCCGCCGACTAAAAACCCATATTCTTTTTGATAGAAAAAAGGAAAGAATCTATTTAATTCGCCATCTATTTTTTTAACCGTTTAATACATGTAGTTTTCAAATTGGACGAAAAATACATGTGTTATTTAATTTTGTTTGTAAAATTGTTCGTTTATTAAACCGTTTGTTGAATCGTGCCCGAGTGTTAACTGTCGTTTACGGCATTGACGGATCCGCTAACTGGAGTTAACTATTAACCCCACGTGGTTAATTAGACTAAACGAAAGACATTGTTGTCCTTCTCACATGTGAGATTACATTTGGGGGAAATGTGAGTAATTAACCACGTGAGATTATGTTATTTAACAAAGTGGTTGCAGATATTGTCTAATCAACAAAGTCATTATGCTTTGCCTTGATGCAGATATTGTCTCACTGTTAGATGATGTTAAGGTACGTCTACTCCGTTGCTGTGTCATTCATACTGCTCATAGATAAGTGCTTTGAGCTCAAATGAGACTGAAACCTTTCTCAAAAATAAACTTTAGGATCCTTTCTCTTAGAGAGAGAACAAAACTATAGTGGTATGAGTTTAATGATTTCTCTGTTCTCACAAAGGAGAATGTTCTTAAACCAACCATGGAAATACAAGTCAACGTCTGAAAAGAAAAAGAAAAAAAAAAAAGAGAGAAAGAGAGGTTCACATTGTACTAGTTATCAACCTTTAGTCTCTTTGGGTTTGGGTGTTCACGTTGTGGGGGATGTGGAAAATGGCAATGAGGTATCCGAATATGCAAATGAGCAAACGGAGGTATCAACGGGTGCATCATCATTAAAAGGTATTGAGGTGGTAGATTCAACTCTTGATCCTCAGTGTTGGCAAAAAACTCAAAAGCATGCATATCAACCATACCCATGTCCACAACTCCCTCCTCAACCATTTCAACAAGATTCCAAAATCCCTCAAGAACAGTCTCCAAACTAGGAGATCCAGTCAACTTCCGCAAAGGTATTAATGCCTCTTCCTTCTTTCGCGAAGGTATTAATACCCTACCATACCCAAGAGAGAGCTGAGTGAAGAAAGAGCACATGCTATTAGTTTGCTTGAGGAACTCAAACCGAGGGTCTGCAATCACCTTCTTATCTATATTATCCCGAAAGTAGAGCCCGTAAACCGCCTCAAACTGCGCTGTGAGCTTAATAATACCAAGCTCCTTGCTCGTGATCCCTTCGGGAATTAAAGATGTGAACTTGGGAGGTGGCAGATCATTCCAGAGAGATGAAAGCACAGCCGCGCGAAGATCAGTAGGACCTTGGTCAGAATTCTTTTGCAAGTCCTTTGGTTGTAGACTGGGCGACGGCGGATTCTCGCAAAATGCATGATCCTGACTCAAGATCTGCATTTGCTGGTAACATGCATGGTAAGAAACTGCTGTCCTCCAAAAGCGGCGGCTTGAAAGATCACTCAATTTAATTTCCAATGACCTTATCTGGTCACGAAAATCTTCTGGCCTTTCGTGAACCGGTGTCATGAGAAGTTCAGCTATCTGAGAACTCCATGGTTCCAGCAAACCTAAATCGTGTGTAGGTGGGAATGGAATCTTTTGAACCAACGTATCACCAAAAAACTCAAGAGCATGCAGATCAACAATACCAATCTTGTCCATTCCTCCCTCATCCTCCTCTTGCTTTTCCAACTGAGCAAGAAGATCAAAAAAACCCTCAAGAACCGTCTCGGGACTAGCACCAGCATTCTTAGTCAGCTCTTGGCAAGGCCTTGATACTGCAATATAGCCGCGAAAGAGCCGGCAGTAAAAAGAGAACTTGCTATTATCAGTCGGTATATACCCAACTCTTAGCCCGTAGTAAACAGAGTGCTTGTCGTCGTTATGATCAGGTACCTTGGTCATGAACTCAAACCGAGGGTCCATAATTACCTTCTTAATCAGAGCCCGCTGGAAGAAAATCCCGTAAACCGCCATAAACTGAGCTGTGAGATTAATGACACCAAGCTCCTTGCGCATTATCCCTTCCGGAAGAGATTTTGTCAAGTTGTGAGTGTATATAAGCAAACCCGGATCACGGAATGGATTTGTCGTCCTCATAAAGAGACCGTATGCTGCATCAGTTACAAATTGGTCCATGAGCTTCTTTCTGAGTTCTGTATCATTCTCCATTGGTAACAAGGCTCCAGTGACAAGTATTGGTTCTGCCCAATCGCAAATTCCACTTGACAGATTCTTGTCCTAATATCAGAGAAAAGCCACCATCAAACAGTTAAGCAGTACTAAACGTATCTTACAAACAAATAGGCAAACAAGGTATAAAGAAGAGATTCAATAAAGAAAACTTACAACACCAATTCTACGAACCTCTAGTTATAAAATCTAATCACCGACACGGACCTAAACTGAGTCTATCTAGACAATCAGGAACCAAACTGGATCATAAGTTTCTTCAATAACAAAATCTCAAGGGTAAATACCAAAACCTTTTCGATTGTTCAGGGCGTCGGAGGGGATCGTTTATAAACGTTGATTATAATAACATGGGCACTTAAATTTGGGCTACTTTCTAGGGCTTAAATAACTAGATTAAGGCCCATTTCTAAATAAAATGTGTTTTTTTTTTTATATATATATATATAAATAATCCAAAATAATTTCTGTAATTTTAGCTTCTCTTCGGAAGATTAGTTACTTCCGGCTTTGATTTCCAAGTTTCGAGGCTAAGTTTCGGTTTCTCCGTCGTTGTAATAAAATAAAGTGAGATTATTAAGACCTTTTAAAAGAATTATTAAAAACTAGTTTAAAAATCCAAAATTTGACACTAGGCCATCAAATTGTATTTTAATGAAATATTAATAAAATTATTACTGATATGTTGGTTATTATTAATCATTATTATGTTATATTGATACGAATTAGCTGCAATATTTTTAATTTTACCGTCTCAACTTACTTCGAAACCCATCTTAACGACTAGGTTTAATCGCTAAAGCAAAGCAAAAAAATATATCTATATATATCTATATATATATATATGCGTGTGTGTGTGCGTTAAAAGGAATTGACCATTTATATCTTAGATGTATTTTAAAAATAATTATTTGTTCAATGGTAAAACTAACAACCAATGATAATATTATATAAGTATTCAACATAATTCATGACATCCATACTATAGTAAAAGAGAAGTACTCAAGTTTTCTCGGATCGGGTTTTTAAAAAAATTAAACCCGGAATTTCCAATTGGGCCGTAATAAATATAGTTAAGATCAAATATATATTATTTTTATATCTAATTTCAAATTTCCTAATATTATTCTAACTCCCTACTATAGTAAAACAGAAGTATACAAGTCTTCTCGGGTCATGTTTTTTTAAAAATTAAACCCGGAATTTCCAATTGGGTCGTAATAAATATAATTAAGATCAAATATATTATTTCAATATCTAATTTCAAATTTCCTAATATTATTCTAACTACTTACAAAAATATTTTAAAAAATAATTATTATTCTCCTTTCATTTTTATTTGATCTTATTTTTAGTTTATTATATTACAATATACAATACAAATGTATAGTAAAAATTCAATTTTTTAACATATGTTGCAATTTGAATTTTTCAAAACGGACATATATTACTCAATTGCCAAAAAAATGTATGTACAACGTCCCACATCGGCTAAAGTATCTAATTTAGGTACATTTTGATTTTAGTTTTTTTTTTAATCTAACTTGTTGCAATTCAAGACTTTATAAAATTGGTTTTCCAAAGATATATATATACATATATTTTATAAGCTTCAAAATATTATATTAGTTTAAATTTTAAAATGATTATAAATATTTAAACTATTAAAAGTTTTAAGATTTATTAAAGTTTCAGGATATTATAATTTTTAATATTTTTAAAAGTTGAAAATATCATAATTATTGAAACTTTATAAAAGGTTTATTTATAATAAATATTAACTTTTAAAAGTTTCAAATATAATAAATATTTAAAGTAATTGATAATTTTGCAACGGCTCAGAACATATATTAAAATTATTAATAATTTTTCAACAGGTTAGAACATGATACACCACTTAAGTTTTACAACCAGATACTTTGTATACCAAATCTTACATAAATATGATTTAAAATTATATAGAAAATTATCACTTTAGTGAATTACGGATCCTAAAGTAGATGACTAAATCAAAAAATTTTGATGGTTTATACAAAATCTTATTAACAAAATATACTATTCAAATATTGATTAAATAAAATTTAATACGAATAAGTTTTACCGATAAACTGTATTATGTATCAAATTATATAAATTACGGGTATCAATCTCTAATAACTTTTCACATATACCTTTTCACAAAAAAAAGTATTTAAAAACATCTAACTGCAACACCAACAATCCATTATTTCATATTGACATTTATATTAAAACCAAAAAAAAATTGGTCATTTTTCCCCGCGCTGTAGCGCGGATCCGGACCTAGTGAAGAAGTAAAATAAATACGCATATATGATTTGGCTATTATGATGACAGCTGATGATGAATGCTATTTTTTTTAAATGGCATAAATGATTTAGGTATTATTATGATGACTGCCAAAAAAAATTCCAAGTTAATATTTTTAAGAAAAATCTGTGATAATGGTTAAAAATGTAAGAAATCATATATTTAAAAAATGTGTATATTTTAGTAAAAAATTCAATGTGATAATTATTAACGCTATAACACTATTCCTATAAGAAAACTATATTAGATGAGAATATTCTATTTATATCGGAAGATTCAGTATAAGAATTGGTATTCGAGACTTGAAAATATTAAGATGGCTAACCTACTTTCTAATCATATCAAGAAAAAGATGGGGAAAAAATTATTTGTTTGATGTGGCTACTTTAAATCCATTGACATACGAGTGGAAAATAAGAGTTAAGATCTTGAGAAAATTAACGTGTACTCTTCTCCTTACAACTCACTCGATTTGATTTTAGTAGATGGAAAGGTATGTTTAGGAATTTCAGTATTGAAATCTGTATTTTTACGGATCTTCTTTTTTGTCTTCGGTTTCTAATATATAACGATCTTATATTATATTTATTTTTTATTTACTATATAATCAAGTTAATTAATTTGTTTGTATCCTAGGGCCAAAAAATACATGCCGTGATGGGTCAAGAATTTCATGATGTTTTTACACGAAAACTTTATGAAAAGAACTGGATATTAATCTCGATTTTCAATGAGCAGAATTATCGGGACTTTTAGACCAACTGACCATCGTTTTATGACACACTGGAAATCGACGAGATGGTTCAGAAAATAAGCATATCCTAAAAATTGTATTTTTTTCTTATTAAAGATTGTAAATTTGTTTTCCTATATAAAGTGACGTGCACACCCTAAAAGAAGGTTAATTGCTGTAATATATAAATGTATAGTTGGTCGTTAGTTTCTTACTCTTTCTTCATATAGTATAGATCACCAAAATACTAACTTTGTATTACAACTGTTAAATATTTTTTAACATATCCATAATCCGACAACTCAAACAATAACTTTATGCAATATAACCTCAAAAAAAGCTTGAAAGCATTTGCTTAATGTAGACTAAGTTACAGTTTAAAACTACAACATAAACTCATAAAACTCTATTATTAGATATGGCCGTAACGATGAAATAGATAAAATTAGAAACTATTGTTGTAAATTAGAAGAGTAGTTAAGTTTTACAACCTAAAACTGTCAACATTAGCTAAGTAAGTAGTTTTAGACGGTAATTATAATTAGTTATGAGACAAAACTCTGATATATATATAAAGAGAACATTCATTTGTAAATATATATTCAAGAAAACAAATAACTTTGAGACATCGATCTCTTCTGCTTTTTCCTTGCAGGAGAAAAAAGATGAGCTCTCAAGTCTCATGGCTGGTTTTTTGGGTAATGATTGTTGTGGTGATTCTCAACATTGTAGAAGGAGGAGCCGATGAAGAGACTAAGGTATATATATGTTACAATTTTCTTAATTACTAAATAATGAAAAAACAAAACTAACTTTATTGGTGAAGGAATGATTAATATAACTTTTGGGTATAGGTCCATATAGTATACCTTGGTGAAAAGGAGCATAATGATCCTAAGCTTGAAACAGCCTCACATCTCAGAATGTTAGAATCTCTACTTGGAAGGTACCAACAAACCTAAATTTGATCATGTTGTTGAAAATAAAACAAACATAATAACAATAACTAAGGGATGATTGTGTTGATACATGTGGTTGCAGCAAAAAAGATGCTAGTGAGTCCATTGTTCATAGTTATCGACATGGTTTCTCCGGCTTTGCTGCCCATCTTACAGATGCTCAAGCGAAAAAAATCTCAGGTTTGTAAAAGCATTTCTAGAGATATACTCTAAGCAAGTTAGATAAAGAGTTAATTAACTAATTGGTTTTTAATTTTCATGATTATGAATAGAGCATCCAAATGTAGTTCAAGTAACGCCTAATGTTTATTATGAGCTGCAAACTACAAGGACATTTGATTATCTGGGGCTTTCTCATAGTACACCTAAAGGTCTTCTTCGTGATGCTAAGATGGGTGAAGACGTCATCATTGGTGTCTTGGACTCAGGTATGTGTTTGATATTAATTTTTTGTATAGAGCTTTCTCCAAGTATAAGATGGTTTGACATAATTTGTACGTGTTCATAGGTGTTTGGCCAGAGTCAGAGTCGTTCAATGACAAAGGCTTAGGACCAATCCCAAAAAGATGGAAAGGGATGTGCATAGATGGTGAAGATTTTGACTCAAAGAAACATTGCAACAAGAAGTTGATAGGGGCGAGGTATTACATGGAAAGCCTATTTCGAAAGAACAAAACAGATAGCAGAATACCGGACACAGAGTACATGTCCGCAAGGGAAAAATTGCCTCACGGTACACACGTGGCTTCCACAGCCGCGGGATCATTCGTTTCGAATGTGAGTGCAAATGGGTTTGGAGTGGGTACAGTAAGAGGTGGAGCTCCTGGTGCTCGTATCGCCGTTTACAAAGTGTGTTGGCAAAGACGAGATGGTAGTTGCGCGAGCGCGGAAATAATCAAAGCAATGGACGACGCCATAGCAGATGGTGTGGACTTGATAACAATCTCAATAGGCAGGCCAAACCCTACACTTAGTGAAATTGATGCATATAATCAAATCTCGTATGGAGCATTCCATGCAGTCGCCAATGGTATTCCAGTGCTTAGTGCGGGTGGTAACTTTGGGCCAAATGATTATACTGTCCAGAACATAGCTCCATGGATCATAACAGTAGCTGCCACAAGTCTAGACCGGTGGTATTCTACACCTTTGACACTAGGCAACAACATCACCTTAATGGTAAACCAACCCTTCAAAAACTAGTATTTGTATAGTTGAATTCTCTTTTTGACATCAAAATAAATGTGACCTTCTAAATCTATTACTATGTAGGCACGAAGCGCTTACAAGGGTAGCGAGATCCAAGCAGAATTAATGTTCGTATACCGCGCAAACGAGATGACGAGTGCAGCAAAAGGAAAAGTGGTGGTAGCTTTCATAACTACTGATAATGAAGTTATGGACTATGTATCTACATTTTCAACTGTCGAAGCAAGTGGTCTAATATTTGCCACCAAAAGAGAGGATGATTTGAAAGTCTCTGAAGGTATGGCCATGATCACGATCGACTATGAACAAGGAGCAACCATATTCAAGTACATACGTACCACTAGGTAACTTTATAACCTTTGCTTAGTTTGACCACCCTTATTTTTTTTTATCCATGTTGATTTAATATATATGTTTTTGAAATATTACTTAATCACAGTTCGCCCACCATAAAAATAAGCTCTGCAATCACACTTAATGGACCACTTGTAGCCACTAAGGTTGCTGAGTTCTCAGGAAGAGGACCCAATACCATATCTCCATATGTTCTTAAGGTAACAACTTAATATATGTTTCCAGATAATGATAATATGTAAAAGTTTGATTTTTCCAAAAATACCACGAACATAAAAATTGATATTTTTGCAGCCCGATATCGCGGCTCCTGGTGTGGCCATAGTGGCTGCAAGTACCCCAGAAAAAATGGGTGCCGAGGATGGATTCTACGCTGAGTCGGGAACTTCAATGGCAACACCTGTGGTCGCTGGTTTAGTTGCGCTACTTAGAGCTGTACATCCTGATTGGTCTCCGGCCGCACTTAAGTCAGCTCTTGTCACTACAGGTAATCTAACAATTCCTTAGTTGTATTTTCTAGTTTTTGTTCAACACCAAGCATCACAAATTTGTAGTGATCTAATTAATTCACTCATTCTTAATTGGTTAAGCTTCCCAAACTGATCCCTATGGAGAACCTATATTTTCGGAAGGGCTAACACGAAAACTAGCCGACCCTTTTGACTTTGGAGGAGGATTAGTTAACCCCAACAAAGCAGCCGATCCTGGTCTTGTCTATGACGCGGGTGCAGAAGACTATAGACTATTTCTATGTGCTTCCAATTATGACGAGGTGCACATTACTAGAATATCAAGGATAAATACGTTATATCGATGTCCGAGTCCAAGACCTTCTATGCTTGATCTCAATTTGCCTTCCATAACCATTCCATTCCTTAAGGAAGATGTGACTCTCACGAGAACGGTCACCAACGTTGGACCTGTTGACTCGGTCTATAAACTCGTCGTCGAGCCTCCATTGGGTATCAAGATCTCTGTCACACCCAACACATTGTTGTTTAACTCAAATGTCAAGAAACTCAGCTTCAAGGTTACTGTCTCCACAACTCACAAAGCCAATTCGATTTACTATTTTGGGAGCTTGACTTGGACTGATGGCTCTCACAATGTGACTATCCCATTATCTGTCAGGACACAAATGTTGAAGTATTTTAGCTATTGATTTCTAGTTTTTTTTTTCTATTATTATATCTAAAATATTAACGAAGTTAAGCATGTGTAAAAATTTATATATATAATTTGGAAGTTTTAAAATTTTAATTATGAAATTAATTTTGTGTCATATATATAAATACATTTAAAAATACAGAACCTATTATAGCTATCATCCACCAAATCACACCCGAATATGCTAACAAAGAAAAGGCCAACATTATTGGATACTAAGGGGAGATTTCAAAAATTGATAGAGTGGATTTTCGTATATATGAAGTGAATGTATAAGTTATGTTAAAATAGAAAAAAAAAAAATTATTGCTTTCATTTTTCTGTAATACTAAATATATATTAACGATAAATGGAAAATGAAGCAAAATTAATTGCTCTGTTAACGAAATCAATAATCCTAAAGTAATTGTCATTATTTATAGCAAAATTAATTGTTTGGTTAATAGAATCAACAATGATCCATTAACTTTTGTGGCTTGGTGAACACGGAAAATCACTTTCCAAAAGTTAAAGTAACAAAATTATTATTTTAATATTTTTTATTGTAAAAAAATCAAAACTTTGAAGGTTCAAAAGATTATCAAATGTCTTTTGAAGATTTTTCGTAAAATATAAATGAGAACATTTTAAAATTTTTTTTGAAGATTTTCCTAATAGAAATATTTTTTGAGATGTTTTACAATGACTTTTCTCTAATGATCTCTCTCCTTAGTACTCAGGCCACTTACGTTTAGGAATATAAATTACTACTTTCTCCGTTTTTAGTAAATGATCTTTCGGCCTTATTTTTCACAAACCAATATAAAATTATTAGATTTTTATTTATTTTTTTGAAATATAGACAAAATTTTTATTCGTTTCAACAATTTATATTCTACATATTATTTTTCATTGGTTGAATTGTGTTTGAATAAATATATTTTCTTGGAAGAAAACTTAGTTTCATTCATTCAAACGGAAATATCAGTTACAAGAATAGATAGGAGTTTCGAGAAACTCAATGTTTTCAAACTCAAAGAGAAAGCATTCGGCGATGTTTAACTAGATATTAAGTGATGTTTTTCTATAAAAGTAAGTAAAAATTAAATGATTTCTTAATCTTTGTGTATTTGCTCAAAAAATCATTTATTATAGAACCCAGGGAATACTATATTTTAACAACAGAAATTTTGAATTATATCGAAAATTTTAACTATTGTACAATCTTCTTGTCTAATAAATATATATTTGAATTTTTCTTCTCACAACATTACAACAATGGTGTTTTCTTTTTTTCTTTGCTACGTGACATTTATATTAATGGTGTGCTTGTCTCGTGACCGTGGAAGTTTCAACAAGTCTTCGTCAGCGCTTTTGTCCAACTCAAAGCTATAAAATCGTAATGGGAGAATTACTTAGATAGACCACAATTGTATGTTTATTCCTTAAACAGCTAAAATTTTTTTTTTATTCCTTAGATGTTTAGTGAGATGAGTGTAATTACAATAAACACCCTTGGTCTGTTTTCACTTAAAAATTGCCACGTCAGATTCGATATGCCACGTCATACCTGAAATTGCCACATCATTATTCTGTCTTTAATGATAAAAGAGGAAGAAACTGAACATTTTCGTCACTATTCACAAACAAAACAAAAAACTGTTTTTTCTCTCTCGAAGCCAACGAAGAACCCTAACTCTCGCCACTTTTCCTTCTCGTTTCTTCCGGCCGCTTATCCTATTATCAGTGTGTCTCTCTCTTTCTCGTCGTTATTATTGTCGCATTTCTTCTCAACTTGGATGGAGACTTTTCGTTTTCTGACAAAAATAACAGGGAAATACGAAACGTCGTTTACGGCTGAGTTATGGTACATTACGGGTGAGTTATGACACATTGCGGCTGAGTTGTGGTACATTACGGCTGAGTTATATTATGACTTATTGTAAGTTACGGCTGAGTTATGGCGAAAATATTTCTACCTCGGCGATTCCGGCGAAGAACTCTAATTCTCGCTGCTTCTCTCTCTCTCATCTCTTTTGGCCGCTTCGATTCTCAACGAGTCTCTCTCTTGTCGTCATTCCTATCGTATTTCTTCTCAAATTGCGTACATCCAACGTTGTAAGAAAAGAAAAGAGTTCTTGGTCCTCACATGTGGTTCTGTTCATGGTGAGAGTTGCTTTGAAGATGACAATAATGAAGACGAAGAGAGTGAACGGTAAACCTATGGCACTAACTCGTAATCTCAT